TTTACCATTTTTTCAAGAATATTTAAAATACAAGAAGCTAATGCAACTGGTCTGACTTTTCCATTAGCTTTAGGAATAAAAGAAATAATATACGTATTCCATTGAGAAGGAAATTTTTTGCTCTCAAATAGATCGTTAAGAATATCCAAGAGAATTCTTTTGTAAAATTCAGGAAGGTAGCTTAAAATACTGTAGGTAATTTTATCGACCCCTGGTGAAGAGTTCATATTTACATTGTGAAGAGTATATATTATATAAGTTCTTCAAAAGAAAATGGATCTGTTAGCCCGGTGTTCTGGTGTGCAGCTTTATCAGGTAAAGGCAACTTGTTTATTCTTGATATAGCAGGATCACATGGAGCACAGAGGTTTGAAAGGCATTCTCGTGCATTTATCAACTGCGACGTATTGTCTGCCACTGAAGGCGGCCTGTTCATGCCATTTTTGAATAGCTTAATTTTACGCCATATCTCTGTAATGTTCGTATTTTTACTTATTGATGTGCAGAAATTGTGAAAGCTTTTTTTCTTTTCATTCTTCAGGGTGAAAGTAGTTTGCGCGGCAAGTTTTTTGTATTCAATAATATCAGATAAATTGCAACGATATTTAAGTGATTTGAACTTCGCTGTTCTAAGTCTGATTGCTCTTTCGCATACCTCATTCCACCAAACGCAGTTGTTTTTATTTTTTTTTGTGAATCTTTTATTGAAGTTATTTGCATTTTGATCAACGGATAACTCTGGAGGACGAGCTCCAGGTGGCAAAGAATCTGCAATAGCAATTGATATAAAGTTGACAAAATTATCGTATCTTTCCAAGACATCTGCGTTTGTGAATTCGAGGCTGGTAAACATGCCTTCTGCTTTGCATAATTTATCCCGGAGAAGTTCCCAGTTAATTTTTTTCAAGTTAAACCTATAATCGAATCTTGGTTTTAACTTTGAAGTAATGTTTATTTTTATTTCAATGGGGAGGTGATTGCTGGACCAAGAGTCTTCTAGCACATCCTATTCAGTGATCAGAGCTATGTCAGGGGAGACAAAAGACAAGTCTATACAGGAGGCTTTATATTCACCGTTGGAGAAATAAAAATGAGTTGGACGACCGTCATTCAAAATAAAGACTTTCTCTGGGTCCAAATTTTCTGCTATAATGTTTCCATTGAAACAGTATTTGGAACTACCCCATAGTGGGTGATGTGAATTAAAATCGCCTAATAAAATGAAGGAATCGAGATCGGCAATTTCATTTATAAAATTTGTCCAACTATTATGTTGCATATTGTGGCTGATATGTGGAGGTCTGTAGACAGCTATTATCGCAATACTCTCAAATTGTGTATCAATCGTTATACTACCTAAATCAATGTAAGAAGGAACGTTATTGAGTGCAAGGTTGTTATAAATGATATTGTCTCTGATAAAAAAGACTATTTCTCCTCCTCTGCCATCCAGCCTATCAAATCGGGAGACTTTAAGTCCTTTTATTTGGAACATATCGTCCGGTCCTAGCCAAGTTTTGATGGCTATAATAACATCGTATTTTTGAACCTGGTTCATTAGTTCCAACTTATTTTTAAAACTGCGACAATTCCACTGCTTTTAAAATTATTAATATTAACATTCATTATTATGTCTATTAAAAAGAATTAAGAAATTTGTGAAAGTTAAGTGATACTTAAGTTACGCTAATTGAAATAAAGTAGAGTATGCGAAGATTTATCCGGAAAAGGTTGGAGATTTCGTGGATTGATATAGTTCCAACAGACTTTCAGCTCCCCTTAATTTTTGTGATAATTCATCATCATTTTGATTCTTTAAAATAATAATTAATTTTTCCTACCATTAAAACTGTTCAGATTTGTATATTTCATTTCTTCTTGAGAGTAGTCCAATGGCCATCTTGGAGTTGGGACTGTATTTGCAAAGTTCCTGGTTGGACTGCTAGGAGTCATCAGGGTATTCGTATTTCCTTGAGTAGGTGAGACCAGTTTACTTTGTTCTTGTTGAATTTGTTTGTTTTGGTCAGAACGTGCTTTCTCCAGTCAATGACTAAGATTCTCTTTGTTTGGGTCGTTTGTGCTGCTCGTGTTCCTTGTATATTTAATTTGCCTATTGGTATTGAAGATTGTACCTGAAGAAGTAGAAGTTGCAGCAGTGACAGATGCATATGATTTCCTATTACTGTTTCTAATTCCACAGGCTTTGTTGAGAGCTTTTTCCTTTAGATCAGGAAAATTTTCTCTTGTTCTGTACGGTACTTTCCTTTGGCGCAATACTTGAACCTTCGCTTCTTTAAAAGGTTTTTTTTTCTTTTGCCTTTTTGCCTTTATTTTTGGCTTTTTTTTTTTGGACTTCCCTTTTGGATTTTTTCTTTTTTTGTTGTTTTTGGCTTTTTGGCCGTTTTGCCCTTTTGGGGCTTTTTTTGGGCCATTTTTTTTGTTGTTTTTTTTTTCGGCCCTCATTCCCTTTGGTTTTCCTTTTGCCCTTTTTTTTTTTTTGGCCAATTTTGAGGCTTTTAAACCTTTTTATTGTTTTGGAACATATGGTTCGACCAAAAATCTTACTTTTGCAATAAATATTTCTTTAGGTAGCTCTTGGCCATCGAAAGTCAAAAGCTGGGGATCCATTTATTTTCTTCGCTTGTTGTTGTCCTGTTTTTCATGTCAAGACGTTTTATTTCCCTTATTCTGGGGCAAATTAAATCTTGTCCATTATGGTTTCATTACTGACATCAGTGTCTACTCCTTGGATAATTCCTTTTCTTGATTTGCGAAAGCTGGGGACATAAGTCTCAAGCCCTTGTTTGAATAAATTTTGATCATTTTTTAGTTTATTTGCCTCTTCTCGATTAGTTAGAATTATCTCCACCTTAGATCTACCCTTTTTGGTATAGTTTGTTACACTTGGATTTATCTTTTCGTCAATAGCCAAACCAACGCGAAGTGCAGAAATTTCTGTGTTTTCTTTGACAGGTCTAACCCATACGCTAAAGAGACCTTTGCAGTTCGAATTGAAGAATTCTGTTGTTTTGTTTTCTTTAGATGGTAAAGGAACTGGTGAATTGGAAGCGATTGTGTTCTTTATCATTTTCACACCTTTGCTGGGCCCGTTTGCCCCATTCATAATGTCACCACTCACTTCGACCTCAGCAGTCCGTTGACGCTTTGACGTTTTGCGTTCGTCGTTAACACCTCCATTATCCTGATGCGCAATCTCACAATCGATTTTGTCATCAGACAAAGGCAAATCACTGCCTTTGTCTTTTTCACAGTCTTTCGCGTTATCACCCGCCATGTTTTATCGATCTAACCTCCCACTTGCGGGGGTACATATGTACGAATGTTTTGGACCACTATGAGTTAATTTAATATCTACACAAATGTTAAAAATCAGTGTTCGGCCCAATGGCCGAACCGAGGAGATTTGTAAATGCCCCAAAAGGCAATTTCAATTAGTATAACAACAGATTAAAATAACTCGATCAACTCGTCCAATGCACGTTCATCAATCCTCTACTCTTCAATCTATTCTGTGTATTATATTCACACGTCGATGGCGTCATATGCAATCTTCGGCACCCTATAGTTCACCTATTCCCTGATTCCCTCCTACACTGCCTGAACTCCGCAAAAATATAGATGTTTCACACTAATTGTTTCCAACACGTTATACGCAAGCCTTTATTATCAACCTATGCTTATTCTACTTTAAAGGTGTAATAGCTATCATTGTAATAAACTTCAAAGTCATAATTTAATGGATGAGAGCATATAAGACAAGTAATAAATATGTCAGAAATTCAATCATTACAAAGTTAATAATCGATCTGTAAAGTAAGGATATTATTCTAACGACAAAAAATACAAAAATAATCGATAATTCCATAAAAATAGAACTATTTTATTATAAAAAGTTAACAGCTATTTGAAAAACTATAAATGTCTTTTACTGTTTGTTGTGCACTTTTAACTTCTCCAATTATGTGAAAGAATTAAAACTGGACAATTATTATTGACATATTTATTATAAAAAGTAAAGTTGTATTAGTTATGAATTTTCGTTTTGTGATAACCGAAACTTTTAATAGTTAATTTCAGATGTATATTAAAAACTAAAATAAATCGTTCGAAATACCGTAAATAAATTTTTCTATCAATTTTTTTAAATATTGGTACACGTTGAATTTAAACGAAATTAAGTATTAAAAAAGCTGTTAAAAATAGTATTTTACTATTTAGCTATAGTTTGGTAGGAAAATTTTGTAGTCGGAAAGTATTCCTCATAGTATATAATACTACATGTCATATCTGCTGCAAACTATATGTTTTTTTGACAAAAAAGGCACTACTATGTGAAATAAATTATATTTTTATAACGTTTTTTTTAATTTATAATATAAACAAACAAACAGTGCACTATAAAAAAAATAGACTACATATGTTTATACTGGTTACTTATGTGCTTTTGAAGTTTTAGGTGAAAAGGTGCAGTCTCTCCTAGGACATAATTTTTTGGTACGGTTGATAATTTTGATGACATACCTCAGTTGATGTTCAATTAAAGTTGCCAACACTCACTAAACTTGTTAAGATTTTGTCGAGGATTTTGTTTATTTAGACGATACGATTGGTTGTAATAATTCAATAAAAACTGAATCATATTACCGTTTTTCTATTTATAAAGTGACTATCATTCACTAATACATTTTAGTTAAAATGAGAGGTGGGACAGTTTTAGTGTTGCGACATTATAGGCGTGTGCCACACTTGTACGAGTATACAATATTTATATCTACTGAAATACGGGTTGTGTCATGCAGTAAACTTTTGTCGAGTGAATCTTGCTATATTTATATTTTGTTCTTTTTGTTAGTGTAGAATAATATTTTCGATTAATATTCCTCTAAGTAGTTTATTTTCTTGTTTGCATGGATTAAGTCCACACGCAACTTAATTACTTACTACCAAACATATTTTTCCACACGCAATGCATGTGTATATTTCAGTCGATTAAGTTTATGGTTACCCACACTATTGTGTAATTAAAAATTTCAAAACTCATGAGTAATTATTTACTCGGCTAACACGATTATCGCACCGCTTCTGTCGTGTCTTACTTTTTTATCTATCGATACTAGTGTGAATGACTAATAAAGATAAAGCATCGAAAAAAAAACCTGCCAAGATAATTCAACTGTAAAGAGGTAGGTCTTTTAACAGTTTGTAAGTTACCAATAACTCGAGCACTACATTTATGTGCAAACTTGTATTCGTGGAAAAAGGAGGATTTATAAGAAATACCACGTGATAGCCCATCATGTTGAGGCGAACAAGGTGAGTATAAGAGTTTTTCAGTTTCTGTTTTTGTTTTCGTACGCCAACAAAAAGAATTTACGTCGTTTCAGAATAAACAAGTCCATCGAAATGGAGACCGACGAGTTAGTTTGTGGGACAACAATAAACTCGTTGAATGACGATTGCTTGTTGCACATATTTCGATTTCTATCCATAAAAGACCGCATGAGAATGAGCAGAGGTTCGTGAAAGATCGTTTATTATGTTTTTTATTTGTTCTTTATCATCATACGTGGTTTTCAGTAAGCAAACGTTGGAAAACAACGAGCGATGAGTCTTGGTCTTACGTTAAAACGCTGAACAAAAGTAGTATCGAGTGGGCCTTCAAATGGAAAGACAAAGAATGGAAGAGACGCAACCAATTGGTATTCATAAAAATTTTACAGTCATGTGGACGTTATCTTACTCATCTCGACTTTTCTGGCCTACCAGTGAACAACAGTGTGTTAGACAATATCGGTGAACTGTGCTCCAACGTGAGAACCATTAAGTTCAGCAATGTGCCATTGTCCACTGGCATAGTCAAGTCCATGTCAGCCAATTGTCGGAATATCGTGGAATTTAGTTTTTGTGAGCTGGATAATGATTGCACGGAAGATAAGCTGTGCAACTTTTTCAAGGGCTGTGATAAGCTCGAGTGCTTGGAGGTGTCACGAGCTAGTGGTTTGACTGGAAAGTTTTTGTGGAGCCTTCCAACAGAGTGTGTTCGGAAAATTACCGTACAAAACTGCAGAGCTCTCTCACATAATTTTACTGATAAAGTATGCTTTTTATCTGACATATGTTGCTCATTTGAAAAAGGAAGTATAATTCCAAGAATTAATTTTACTTGTAGTTTAACAGCCACTTAGGTGTTATGTGCAACGGACTGACAATACGATTACGAATATCAAATTGACACCTAAGTTATTTTGGTCTTAGGTATTACCATATCGATGGCAACACATACATTGAGAAAGCATTCGCCTCGTGTAGTAATTTGAAACAGTGCCATCTGTATGAAAAAATTCTGATTAGTCAACGCTGCTGATAAGCTGATACTAACATACATGACCTCTAATGGGCCATCACCTTTTATAAATTTTTTCTTTAACATTAACTTATCTTTGACAATTAAAGTAATTAGTTTTATTATTAAGTATACAATTTAGTAGTAAAAATTACATGTATTTTTTGTATAAATTTTTTTTGTCGTAAATAAAATTTTTTTACTTCCATAATAATAATTACTTAACACTAAAAAAAATAATTTTAGCTGTCATAGATTCGTTTAATGTTAAGGAACACATTGATAAAAGGTGATTGCATGTATTAATATTCAGCGTTGGCCGCGATGGTCAAAAATTGAATGCTGACCGCAACCTTCAGAGCGCTTCTTTACTTCTTTTCCCTTGCAGATGGAACTGTTTTAAATTACTGCAAGAAGCCGCTTCGTAGAAGTGAGTACTTGTAGAGCAATTTACATTTTGTAGTAATATTGAAGTGTTTACTTAAAATTTAACTTGATGCGTCTAAAACTCTTTACGTACAGTTTCACGTATGGTTACAATTAATTTTTTCACGTAGCGAAAAGTAAAATGATACTTGGAATTACATGCCATTTTGCCGAAAGGATTTTCTAACAAATAGTTTAAAAAGATTTTTGTTTACCCAACAGGTCTTTGGAAGGTTTCCCAACCCTCAAAGTCTATGTATAACGCATTCTTCCATAAAAACTATATCAAATCTGTCAGGAAACTTGAAAAATCTGAAGCATGACTTGAAAATCACCGAGTCCAAGGTCCTATCACAGTTGAGGAATCTCGAAACACTCGACGTTTCAGGCGAAACCGTAACAGACGCCTTTTTGACGGGCTTGGTACAAACATCCAAGGACTTATTGGACTTAACACTAAGAAGTAGTACTAGCTTTTCGTTTTTTACTTCAGTCAACGGAAGACAACTTCACCAACCGAATGATTCGTTTACGTTGCAGATAGTCCCATAACTAGAGCTGGGCTTCGGGCCATTGTAAATCTGCCCAAGCTCGAAACTCTACACCTCGACAATGCGACGATCGTTAAGTGTCTGGGTTCCACTTATCCACCGGCGCTGAGGAAATCGAATTCAAATTCGAACATATGCAACGAACTTTTCAACGAAGATTTGGTCTCCTGCGACATTTATGGACGCGTCGATGGTACGATGTTTACAAACAAACGGCTTCCTTTGCGAGTGAAAGTTTTTAGAACGCATCCCGGTGATGCCCTAGAAGAGACGGAAGTGCGTTGCAAGAGGTTCTGCGTGACCGCTTTCGTGTGTTCGTTGAAGAAAAATGTCCGACAGTTCGAGAGAAGACTTCGCATGTGATACACTTAATTGATGTACTTAACCGATGTAACTGTATTGGGATCCGAACAACGGATGAACAAAAGGGCTTTCAAAAACCACCACCTTACGTAATTTTACACAGTGGTATGGTGCTAGTATCTCAGAGCCACCTGTTGACTTGTTGAGGCTTAGAAAAACCGCCACCTTATGTAAATTTTACATGGGCTATTGGCGCTGGCGGCGTTATTCAATCCCAATCCCCCAATACTTATATGGTTCTGAGCAATCCATGTTACAATGATTTCTGAATAACTTAGCTGTAAGAGAAGCATTATTCTCTTCTTTTTTCTCATGACGTGTATATAAAATTCACAGTAAAATTTGATTTTTATCAAAGAATTTTTGATATTTTTAGCTCATATCGTGGGATTGTGTTGTGAAAGAATTTTGAAGCTTAAAATTGTACATACATTTTTGAACCACCATCAATAGGATGATAGTTTTATGATGTTATGATAACTTATACTTTGTTTAAAACGCGTTGAAATGTTAATTATAACGTCATTGGTTATAGGATCTGCCAAAATATGGTTACAATCGTTACAAGACTTTTCGAAAATTATGACTGTCGAAGGACCAAAAAATCATAACAATCCTGCTCGTTGAACTATGATCACAATATTTGTAGTAGCTTATCATCTACTCATTAAGTTGTCTACTAAGTAAATTTGTTAAGTTACTAGTAGCATTATGATAATTTTTTTGAAAAAATTTGTAAACTAACTACTAAGTACTTTATGAAGATTAGTTTCTAAAAAATAGAAAGCTGGCCAGGCTTACCTACTTAATGAATGAATTTTTCATAAACTTAATAGCGAATTTCATATAATGATTGTCTTAAAACTTCTCACAGTCTACAAGTGGTAATTTGATGTGTTAGTTATTATATTTAAGCTACAAACTACATGCACATCTTTCTTATGGTGTATTAAATGTACATAGTTATGTAAATAAACAATTCCAAATTTTAAGATTCCAAAATCTATTTTGTACGTAGTTTTGTAAAACGTGATGTTCTTTTTAAGGACATTCCCTCAGGGTTAGGAGAGTTAGAAAATCAGTTTCTCTTGAGTTTCTTTGAAAAATACAATTTTTAATGATTGAAGCGTGTTTAATTATCGTATGAGTGTTAAAATAGTAATATAAAACATTATAAAATTTGAATACTTACTACAAGAAACATGATAAGTGATACTACAAGAAACATTTACATTATATACCAAGAACATAACAATACAGATACAAATATAACATTGGAGTGAATCTTTGAGTGGATATAATTCAATTTAAAGTAGGAGAGCTAAGAGCTTGTTGTGACAGAGGTAAGAAGTAACACGCTGTTTTAGCTGAATGTATAAATTTTATGTCATATGTTTTTGTATTAATTTAATTTCTATATCATGTAGAATAACCGTATTGCGGTCAATGTTCTGTCTATAGACAACCCAGTGAGTAGATGTGTGCAAGTGCTTCAATTTGGTTAGGTTGCGTTAAATTTTAACTTTAATAAATTTCGATTTTCATAGCTGTATTTTATCAATTTTCAGAAGTAAACGTGCACATAGCTTTAAAGAATATTTGATTTCAATATTCCGTCGAAAAGTTTTGCGCGAAGTTAAATTGTTTTAAAAATTTCATACTAAATGTAGAAAATCATGCTCTGGGGCATGTTGTTAATATCTTGGGGCAAATTTTAACATGTTACAACTGACCCAAGTATTATCTCCACCGTACTTGTACCGATTATTTATGTTTATTACTATGTTTTTGTTTTAGGATATGAAATTATAAAAGAAAGACTGTATTTCGTGTAAAAAGTGGGCACGTGCTAAATGTGCTGCAAATGATGTTGTATCATACCTATGTGTATAAATTATTACTCAGATGAAGACTGAATTTAGTCATTAATATTGTATTAGGTTCTTAAATGCTGTGAGTTTAAGAAATAATATCTAATAAAGCTCTTAGTTCCATCGAAAGTGACTTTAATTTAACTGTTACTACTTATCCCAGAGATGTTACAACTACCCCAATGAAGGGGACAGTTGTACCAACTAATTTTTTTTTTTTTAAATATCTTGTGGGATAAACTTTTTGAAAGCTAAAATTTTATTCATTTTCCATAAAATACTAGAGTAGTTAAGCTATCGATTGGCACTTTATGGATGTAAAAATAGAAAAATCTACTTAGTATTACTGTTTTTCGTGAAAATTATTACAGCAAGCCCCCAGCTCCCCTAATGCTTTTTAAATAAAAATTTTTTTGGTACTTTTCGAATACTTTTGTATGAATTACATTCGTTTTATGAAAGAAATCATAAAAAAACTTTCATTTGATATCACCGATAATTTGAGAGTCAATTGCAATATGATAGTGTGCTCACAATCTTAAAATTTTAGCATTTAAAAGTAAATATCTCAAAATCAAATACTGCTTGGACATAAAAAAATTGTTCCCTGCACTCAGAGAAAACTCAAAAACAGAATTGTGGATAAAACTTAAACAAATTTCTAAGAAAAGTGATTTTCTGACGAATGCCGTCAATTAATTTTCAGTCAGTTCAAATAACTTAGAAAGTAGTAATATTTAAATGCTCATACATCCTAAAAGACTTATTTTCGGTACCGTGGTACAGATTTTATTTTTTACTACTAGTGATAAAGCCTTACAAATTTTTCACTACAAGATTAAAAAAAATACATTTCAACATTATTTCAAGTATTGTATTGTATTATAATAGATTACACATGCATCTTGTATACTGGCATGTTAACCACTTAGTTATTGAGACTGTTTTGTTTCGAATATATAAGAAAGTAAAATAATTAGGATTGATTAAATAATTTTTTTAAACAAAATTTTTTATAATGTATGTGTAGAAAAGTATATTCAATACTTTACTTTATTTCAAAACTATAACTTGTTTATAGAGGTATATTAGATCTACAGTGATCCATACACAAAATTGTTTCTTATAACATTCACTGCGATTCTGTAACATAAGTTTTGATTATGCCGTCACAGAATCTAATGCAGAGAAAAGTTCAATCAATTGATAGAACAGTACAAGCGTGTAAAAGATCATGATAACGGCACTGGAAATGATAAGAAAAACTTTGAATACTACAAAGTACTAATTTTTTTTATAACATTTTGTATGTTTTATTATACGTTGTATGTTTTATTATACATAATAAATTTAAAAGTAAGTAATCTTCCTCATCTTCGCTATCACTTTCACTTTGATACAAGTCTTGTAAGGTTAATAATGATATTCCTATGATCTGCTTTTCATTACAATTCATTGTACAGAATAACTGAATCAAAATCAATAACTAATTTATTTGTTATTTATAACCTACAATATTTGCGACCATAGGCTTTGTTGCCTGATGGAAAAAGAGGTATAGGTCTGTTCAGTCTGTTCACTCACTTTGAGTTTAGCGGAACAGTGGAACCCCCTTTTCAATATGAACGTTCACAATGAAATAAGTAAAAAATGTCTATGTGAATAGCTCCAATACTCGACGCATTCCGTCAACAAAAACCACAAATGACCTTGGCTCCTCTATTGCCCCCATAAATCTCCGGGTCGTTACTAGAGCTTTCCTCTCATCTGCCCTCGTAGAGCTTCAATCTTTCTAAACTATGTACGCGCGAGTCTGTGGGAACGAGCGTCAGCCAAGCCAGCTAGTCTCCCATAAAAAAGGACACCACCTCTTCCTTCACGAAAGCTTTCTCCAACAACGAGGCTGGGCATCCTTTGAGTGTATACATGTACGTTGTCGTATGGGCAATAGAACGTCTTTGTGCGTGCGCATCGAACTTTCCTTGAAACTAATGAGAAAAATTGCTCGTAAATTTCCTGCGGCCGGGATACATGTCTTGCTAATAAAATTGGAATTACGCCGTTCCACCGTGTGTACCTGCACGTGTAGGCGTCCTTTGCGTACCTGTACTATATGTTATAAAGTATCCTTTTGACTTTTGGCTCCTTCAATAAATTTTCATCAAGTTCAAGAATACAAGAAGCATTTTGCGATGAAAAAAATTTCTACACCTTTTTTAAGATGATCAGTAGCCAGATGGAAATGCACACATCACTGTAAAACTCTGGAAATTCGTTTTAGGTGTCTCGAATCACCTTGTGTTATTAAATGTTTTTTATGACTCGTTCTATCTGTGTAAATAAATATCAAAGTTAAGCTCTCTACCATATATTGCTGTGAAAGTTAAGGAGGTTAACTACCTTAAGCAATTGACAGTCAGTTTTTAGTTAAAACTTGGTGTAGAGCTTCAAAAATGTGTAAAAAAATGTATGCAAAGTTTCAAAAACTCTGGGTGCTTATGAAATGAGGAGTTGATGAAACAAATTTTGTAAATTTTACATACATTCTTATGGGAGATCGTCAAAAGCAACTTTTATAATAAAAAATTTTAATACAATTAACAGTCAGATTTGGACAAAACTGTACTCAACAGTAAATTAATATGTGCCTAATAATTATGTAAAACAACACGCGCGGCGTTGGCTCAGTGGTAAGCGTGCTTGTTACTGATATAATGCAGTACTAGGGGTCGTGGGTTTCGATTCCCGGAGAATGCAGATTTTTTTCAAAAACTGTTTTCATCGGGAAAAGTTCCTATGTAACCCCTGCTGTTTCGGGGCGGGTTTTTCCGTGGAATTTTCCCTCAGAGTAATTACAGGATTTTTTCCTTGTCTCACAGGTCTTCAGGCCTGGGTGAATGCAAAACAGTGTTAGGGCTATAGGTAGGGATTAGTGGATCCGATGCCAGGCGTCGGGCAGAGATTGTGCCGGCCTTACCGGCGAGGAGTGGGCGTCCTGGAATAATGGAGTCTTCTCCGGGGAAAGGCTACACAGTGGCGAGTGGACCTAATGCACCATTGGTGCAGAGTGCCAGCTAACTGGCAAGGTGTGTTCCTCCGGAGATACTCACACTGTGCCCATGGATTAAGGTAGCATATGAGGAAAAAAAGTTTGGAAAATGGGTGTGGCAATACACCACCCACACATAGGTGGCGAGTGAATGGCGCCCGCGACTAGGCCAGTAGCCTGTTGTGCTTGCCCGGTAAAAAAAATAAATCATGTAAAACAATCACGTCACTTCGATGCATGTACAAAAAATTATTAACGAATAATCTGGGGTGTAAATACAACTTAATAATAAACTACGGGAAATGCGCACGCATTTCTAACCTAAAAAAGGCACAAAGTCGGACTTCTTTCTCACAAATCACACAATTTCCTCCACAGGTAGTCAACCATCTAAACCTCAATGTATTTTTTTACACGAATAAAAAGATTATAAATATGAAAAAATTCATCAACTGGCAAATTGCAGCTTCTGTATCAAGTCAGCAAAATTTAATGGCACATTATGGAGCATTTCAATGAAAATAATGTGTAAAATTGTGAATTACTGTCCATCCTTAATTTCCTTGCACTAATATGAGATACTAATTAATAATTTTATTATTTCACTAAATACTCAAAGAATGGTATAAATGAAAATTGCCAATTTTTTTCAAGTTTAATGGTTACAGCGAGAATTTTATGCTCAACGTACAATTGAGCGTGCAGTCTTTTATTAGATGAAGAATTCTCTGATAAGGTTCCCTGTTTAAATGGAGTTTGTCATGCAGTTACTTTTACTACATGTTTTAAGATTTTTTAATGAGTCTTAATACAATTTTAAGTTATTGCTCTTCAATCAATGTAGAAACAATTGTGTGAGCCACAATTTTTATGGTTCAGAAATACTAGTTGCTATAAAATTTTTCTGCTATGTATAACATTTATCTATGATAATAACCTATATAAAGTTTTACTTTCATTAGCCTATAAGAAATTGTTTTTTTCTTCTGATAAGTATTTTTATACAAAAAGAATCACCTGATGGTTATAATATTGCCTAAAATGCAATGGTGTTGATCTTTGAATTGATAAAGATATATGGCTTTATTTAAGTTTTTGATCGTACTCTCGGACAACTGGGAAATTTTGACGTAACTTTTTTTCCGAGTACCATTACTAAACATCGTAAGTGCGGTAGTTTATAAATACATTCTCATAATCATTTTGTGGGGTGAGTCCAATGTTAAAAGCTTTGTAGCTTTAATGATGTATTGATTAATTAGCAACACGCTGCGAATGCGCAAGTCAACTTTACCCAACAAAATTGTGCCTTCAAAGAAGTTGGCCGCCAGTTTATCGATCATGAATTTGTGTGATTGGGCGAGTAAGTTGTATATTAGTAGGTCTAATGTGATTGTAAATACTAATTCCATGTCTACGTTTAATAGCTTCAAGAAGTTTGTAGTGATTTTTAAATTATCTGACTTTCATTTTCTATTATCGTTTATCATCTCACAAGACTATAAATTTACCAAATATTACTATGATAGTTTTTGCTTTCAATTGTTGCAAGAAAATACATCATTACACATAATTCAAAGGCCTTAATAAAAATGAATTTTTCAATTTTGCACCACGTTGTTATGAAAATTTGGATTTTCCTTTTATCAGGTCATGGTAAGTTTATCACGTAATCTTATTTTTTTATCTGAAAGAATGAATTGCATTCCATTAACCTTGTAAGCGAAATAATTGTTGGTAAAAAAAGGAACGCAAGGTTTTAAATCTTTTTATACGTATGTAAAAAATCTAAGAATTACATAGATCACCTGATCTTCTTATTAAAGTGACAGAAGAAAGTATTTCAAGCACTTAAGGTCTTATTGTTAAATGAATTGTAATTTATAATGTACTTCTACCGATTGATTGTCTTGTATCCTTGATGTATTTTCAAACTCAAAAAGCACTCATAAGTAAATAAACTTGTTCTTCCAGTTACAGTATTTACTATAAAAAGCGAGAGCCTTGTTGGTGGATCTATATCTACAATGTGCAAAGTAAAATATCAGGTGGTTGTA